GGGACGAAGCCTCCACGAGGAAAAAGAGGAATAAGAAGGGTACAAAAAAGGTGGTACAAGAATCTCAGCCCGCAGAGGACACTCCATTAGGCAACGATGCAAAGCAGAGAAGAATTCCTGCCTTGGTAATGTGGTACCTGCCAGTGACTGATTGCTTGAGACGTATCTTCCTAAACCCTAAAGAAGCCACACTCATGACATGGTGGGATGATGAGCGTAAGGTGGATGATGATAAGATTGCACACCCAGTTGATTGTAGTAAGTGGCAAAGGTTCGATGAGAAGCATAAAGAATTCAGCGATGACCCAAGGAATATACGATTTGGCTTGAGCACCGATGGAATGAATCCCTTCAATGAGAGGATGAGCGACCACAACACTTGGCCAGTGATCTTAACCATATACAACATCCCAACGTGGTTGTGTCAGAAGAGAAAGTACCTTCTCCTCACTATTCTTATTTCTGGCCCTAAACAACCAGGCATTGATATAGACGTGTTCCTCGAGCCTTTGATGCAAGAAATGGAGAGGCTATGGAGGCATGGGGAGCCGATGTATGATGCATTCCGAAAGGAGGACTTCATATGTAGAGCAATAATATTTGTTACTACCAATGATTACTCGGCATTGTTTGCTTTGTCTGGACAGATCAAAGGGAAGACGGGATGCTTGGTTTGCTTGGATGGAACTACATGGGTGTACCTAGATGCATCTAAGAAGATAGTTTACATAAGGAACCGACGCTTCTTAAAGACAAGTCACAAGTACCGCAACAAATTGTTTTTTAGATTTTATGACAACACCCCGGAGATTGAACCCCCTCTGGAGAGATGTCATAACGGAGAACACATGTACAGAATGGTGAAAAACATACGCGTCGTCTATGGAAAGAAGAATCTGGATGGGACGAATAGAGATAGAAACACACCTCCTATCGAAGGCGTACCTTTCAAGAAACAATCGATCTTCTTTCAGTATCTGCCTTATTGGCCAGACTTGGAGGTCCCCCATGCCATTGATGCTATGCACGTGCAGAAAAATATCTTTGAGAGTCTTATTGCTACCTTGATGGACACAGGCAAGTCAAAGGATGGTCTGAAAGCATGGAAATATATGGTGCAGCTAAATGTGATGCCACAGCTTCACCCAGTACCTGAGGCTAATGGAAAATACACTCTGCCCGCGGCATGCTTCAACCTAACACCAGACGAGAAGAGAGGTATATGCACTTTCCTGAGGGGGTCAAAGTCCCGACTAGGTTTTCAGCAAATGTGAAGAAGCTAGTGTCGATGAAGGACTTGTCAATAACACACTGCAAGTCTCACGATTGTCATGTGATGCTGACATTGTTTCTACCTGTTGCAATCAGGGCTATAAAGCCAGAGTTCTTGAAAATGGCCATCACCCGCATTTGCTACGTCTTTTCGAAGATCTCACAGAAGACAATTGGTAAGCAAGAGCTGAGTGACCTACATGAATTTGTGGTGGAGACACAAAACCAACTAGATATGTGTTTACCTCCTGCTTTTTTTATATAATGACACATCTCATGATTCACATGGTTCATCAGATACAGACGCTGGGCCCTTGCTACTTGCATGAAATGTGGTCCTACGAGCGGTTCATGTCGGTTCTAAGTCGATACGTGCATAATCGAGCATACCCAGAGAGCTCCATGATAGAGGATTACAGTACTAAAGAAGTCATCAAGTGTTGTCAAGAGTACCTAAAAGTACAGAAAGAGATTGGTAAACCTGATTCTCGTCACAAGGGTAGGCTGGCTAGAAAGGGCACCAGTGGTAGAAAAGTGTTCATCGATCATGATTACAAAGAGGTGAGTAGGGCGCATTATAGTGTCTTGCAGAGTACACAACTGATACACCCGTACATTGATGAACACTTGGCTATCATTATGGTGGAGAGAAATGGTCGTTAGGATGACTGGGTCATGATACAACATAAGCAACGACTAACTACATGGTTGAAGGACCAAAACATACTGCCTAGAGAAACCATAGACTCTATTACAATCATTAGGTTGGTGGAGGGGCCATCGAGACAAGTGACATCTTAGAATGCTTATGATATCAATGGGTATACGTACTATATCCACGCAAAGAATAATAAATATGTGAACCAAATCAGCGGTGTTTGAATAGAGGCTCTTGATGGATTGGGGCGAAAGATCCAATACTTTGGCATCATTAAAGAGATATGGGAACTTGACTGTGGAAGGGTTATAACGGTGGCCCTGTTTCGATGCCGCTGGATCAAACAACACCAACTGAACGAGATCGGATTGAGAGTCTTGGATCTCGAGAATCTAGGCTACCAAGATGACCCTTGGGTGCTCGGTTCACGTGTCGCACAAGTTTTCTATATGTTTGACCCACAAAGTAACCTTCCCCCGAAGAGGAAGACAAAGCACGTGGTTGCCTCTGGGAAATAGCACATTATCGGAGTTGATGGCATGGACGATGTTGAAGCTTACAATAACTACGATGAGATGCCACTATTCATAGACTTTCCTAAGAAGATCAGTGTTGTGGAAAAGAACCTACCCAAAGACATATTGCCATGGGAACGAAAAAGTGTCAAGAGGAAAGTCGTTATAGCGGGCTAGCTAGTTGTTGAACGTGGAGTGTTTGTGTAAGTGTGTGTTTGTAAGACTTCATTTATGCATGCATGTGAGACTATATATTTATGTATGTGTGTAAGACTATATATTTATGTATGTGTGTGAGACTACATTTATGCATGTGTGAGACTACCCTTTGCAGCCTCCAGATGAATCTATTTCAACATCCACTCTATTACTACTAAAACTTTATAAAATTACTTAACACTTTATGAAATAAAGAAATTGTCAAAATAAAAGTAGGAGATAGTGATGTCATCAACAATTTTTATATTGATCACCTTTACAGCTGAAATCATTTAGTGGTTGAAAATCAGGTTTGAAGCTATCATTTTCTGCAATTCAAAATTTAAACTGTTTCAAATTTTGTCAAATAAAAAGATGACCAAAATAAAAGTTGTAGATAGTGATGTGTTCAACAACTTTTATATTCATCACCTTTATATCTGAAATCATTTAGTAGTTGAAAATCAGATTTGAAGCTGTCATTTTCTGAAATTCAAAATTTGAATTGTTCAAAATTAGTGACAAAGATAGATGACTAGACTAAAATGATAGAGCATGATTTTAGAAAATTTTAGAAAAAATCATCACATTTGGAGTTAGTATGAGAAAGAAAAACTAGTTACAAGTTTCAGTCATAGATCAAAGAGAAATCAAACTTGTTCATCATTGATCATCATGAACAGTTGTGATTTTTCTTTTTAATCTCTGGGAAAATTTGTAACTAGTCTTTCTCCCTCATACTAACTTCAAATATAATGATTTTTTCCTATAATTTTTTAAAATCATGCCCTATCAAGTTACTGTGTTGATTTGGTTATTCTTTTTATTTGACAAAGTTTGAGCAATTCAAATTTTCAAATTTAAAAAAATAAAAAGTTTTAACGAGTGTTTCAACCATTAAATGATTTCAGTTGAAAAAGAAATTAATACCAAAGTTGTATAACTGTCAAGATCTACAACTTTTATTTTGGTTATTTCTTCATCTGACACAGTGATAGCAAACATTATTCACAAATCAACATGTCTCTCGTATGGTTCGTGAAACTATGAGTCATATGTGAATTTATGAATAATATTTACTAATACTTTGACACATGAAGAAGTGACCAAAATAAAATGTGTAGATAGTGATGAGTTCAACAACTTTTATGTTCACGACTTTTATTGTTCAAATCATTTAAGGTTTCAAAATCTTGTTTGAAGTTGCCATTTATTAAAATTCAAAATTTCAACTATTCAAATTTGGTCAAATGAAAAGATGATTAAAATAAAAATTGTACATATTGATGAGTTCTACAGCTTTGATATTCATGAGTTTTTCATCTGAAATCATTTACTCTTTCAAAATATTGTTTCAAGTTAAAATTGTTTGAATTTTAAATTTTGAATCATTTAAACAAAGTCACATAACAAGATGACCAAAATAAAAGTTGTATATGTTGATGAGTTATACAACTTTTATGTTTACAATATTTTCATTTTATGTCATTTAATGTCCTAAAATTGTAGTCGAAATTTTAAAATTCAAATTTTTAAAATTCAAATTGCAGTCACATGACAAGATTGAGTTATGTTTACAACTTTTATGACTACAATTGTTTTTATATATATTTGTACATATATAGAATAATACAAAATATTATATACATTTACTTTGTGTTTTTGTGATTTAAAAAATACAGAATTAATAGTTTCATAAAATAGAAAATATTTATAGGGGCGGCTAGATCAGGAACCGCCACTATAAATGCATTTGTAGGGACGGCTGGATCAGGAACCGCCCCTAGAAATGCATTTGTAGGGGCGGCTGGATCAGGAACCGCCCCTACAAATCGTCCTGGGTATAAATCATTGGCGCTCGGGTGAACAGGTGTTGGACGCTCTCTTCTTCCTCTCGACGCCGTTAGGCTACCCAATTGTGTCTCGCCGCCGCTACCGTCTCCGTGCCCTAGCCACCGCTCTCTTCGCGCCGCTTCATCTCACCTCCGTCGTCCTCCTGTGACAGCCTCCGTCGCCCGCCACGCTTCCTCCCCCAAACGCCGCCTTCCCCAGGCCGGCCACCACTGCGGCTAGGGTTTCCGCAAGAGCTCACAATCCACGACGACAGTGAAGGTCGCCCGCCTCCTTCCCCTCCTGCTTCCCCGTCCCAGCACCGAGGAAGACGGGTTGGCACCATCCCCTCATGTTGTCTTCAGCGCGACTTCCACTGGCGGTGCGGACTCGCTCGGCCCTTGCGACTTCCCGACGGCGCAAACTCCCCCAGCGACCGCGTCCTGTCTCAGTCCACGACTTTCCGGCGAAGCGAGCTGATCTGAACGCCCCCGCTCTCTGCTCTAGGTATGCCTCCGCTATCTGCTCTATCGTTGTGTTGAATTTCTTGCTAAAGCCAACTCGTTCGCGAGCCTCTCGTTGTGGTCCATGAGTTTGGTGACCTCCCCAGATAGTGCTTTCAGTTCCACGCCTACAGCCGAGGCTAGGCCTTTTGCGTACATGCTTTCCTCTTGCAGCTTCTGATTGTGGGCCTCTAGTTGAGCTTTGGCCTCAGTGAGCTCACACAATCTTTGCTTCAGTTCATCAATATCTGACTGACGAGAGAATAGATAATGTTAATATAATCAGTTAAAATACCAAAATAAGTGATATAATTGAACAAATCAGTCAACTGGGGTGATGGTATTAGATAAATGGATCATGAAAAAACGTGCTTAGCAAATTTTTCAATTGGCAAGACAACTTTTTTTAGATAATGGAAGACCAGCTTTATCCTCACAAGCGAGAAATCAAACCAAAATTATTACAGGACACAAATGCTTAAAACAATAACACTCATAAGCCAAATAAAATTAGTTTGTAATCCTAAAGACATAAGGCCACCCATGCAGGTGAAGAAGGCCATTGCCACTGACTCCAAACAAACTGTAATCTATAGATGCTGGATTTTCTTTGTGAACTTGCGATCCATTTTGAAGGCTGATGTCTGTGTACTGCTGAAATATGATGCTTTCTGACAATAAATCATTAGCTTCGAGAGCGTGGGAAAGCTATTCGTGTAAGTGGGCAACTGCTTCTTGTAATGCCTAACACTCTGTTGTCTAATAACAAGATAATGTGGAACGACATAAGATTGTGGGCTTTTTGGTTAACTTAACTTACAATCAAACTGATACCTTTTGCTGTAGCTGGTCTTGCAATACTCTGTTATCTGCTGTCTTCACCTGCAATAAACAAAAAAGGAGCCTTTGTAAATACAGGCAAAACAAGAATGGCACACGAGCACTGAAAAAAGTCTCTATCAACACTTGGCCACCTCTTGAGGGTCAAGGATCCTAGGGGAGCTTATTAACCATGATGCACTTTAGGGGAAAATTTACCTTAAATACTCCTAATTAGTTGTGTGGTGGACAGGCAAGAATGAGGAAATTAAACATGAAGCATTTGGGGGCTTTAGTTCTCTACTCTAGGTACCTCAAGTTCAAATGCTTTCTCATTGACTTGCTCCAGTAGCTTAGTGTGAGACTGGAAAATCATTGCAACAGTTTAATATGTACCAATTCAGAGACAAAGTAATTGAAAACTAATTGACTGCAGATAATATATTGGTGTATGTTCTAACTGGTCAAGCTTTCCCTTAATCTGTCTTTCTAAATGTGCTATCTACTGCTGCTTGCCCTTAATCTCGTCACTGACCTTTTTCATTTCCATCTTCAAATGTATACAGTTTATGGTTTTCATTTCCATTCCATGACACTAATATGAAGCTAGAAAAATATTGCTTCTGTTGTTTGACACTTTTCAATAGGGTTTCTAAGTTTGGCCAAAATCAGCCTTGTTGACTTGTTATTTTTGTGTAGAATGTTTCTATTGGTAACTTTGGGTGAAATTTTTACAGTAGCCTATTTGGAGCATGTAGTATGAACTGTAATTTTTGTAGATTAAATTGTGCAGTTTTCATATATGTTCATTATTCACTTAAATAACTAAATAAATTAAGAAATGCATTAAAAGAAATGAATTGGTGGTGAACACCTTACTTTCTGGTGATCTTATATCATGTGTGAACTTGTGATGCACTTCGTTTGGTCAGAAATCATGTTTGGCACATAAGTAAATATTTAATTTTAGCATTTTTATAATTCTGGACAGTTTCTAGCACTTGGTGAATTATGCTTTGATAATGGTGTTTGCTGGGAATCATGTGAATACCAAAGTTGTAGTTAACTTACTAAACTAGTTTGTGTTAGAATTTGGTGGCATTTTTCCAAGTAGTTTAGGAGATATGGCTGTTCTCAGTTTGAGTCCAGCTTTGGGTGCTCTCTGTCTTGTGAAGACACATTTCTGTTGTTAAGTGATTTTGACCTGGTAAAAGTTGGAATCATGCCTTGAGGTCTGAAAATAAATTTTAGGAAATTTCATAAGCTTTCCAAATTATCTTGTTGCATGTCATTTGGATTTGTAAATTTCCAGTTATGGTCAGTTTACTATGCTCCTACTACTCTCTTAGTACTGCTACTACTCTGTACTATACTCCATTCCTCTCTTTTGCTTGCTTTGCTGTGCAGCTACTACTACTACTCTGCTTTCCTTTATTTACTACTCTACTATGTCTCTATCTCACTCTTTTCTGGCTCGACTGAACTGCTCTTTTCTAGCTACACTTCAATGCTTCGGGCAGCCCTTCGGGGTCGATTTGAATCAGCCGAAGGACTTAGCATAGGGCAAGGTAGGTGCTTGCTATGCTTGCTCTCGCCCTCTCTGCTGCTGTCTGGTGCTTGTTGTGCCTACTCTCTCCATCTTTGGTGCTGCTGGTGCTATCTAGTGCTTGCTGTGCTTCCTCTCTCTCCTCTCTAGAGCTGCTGGTGCAAATATCAGAGATGGCGTGTTTGTTTTGCTTCGAAGCGGGTTTTGGTGGGATGACAGAGACAGCGTGCAAATACAGATGCACGCTAGTTGCTAACATGCTATCCTCCTCTCCTCTATTGTTGTCACCTTTCCTATCCTTTATGTTTGGGAAGCAGCAGCTACTTTTTTACACCTTTTCCTCTCTATATTTGTTAAGCAGCTGTTGCTTTTTTGCCAAATCTCCCCTCTCTTGTCCTCTCCTTTGTTTTGCCGATGATAAAATTATCTAAGTCCATACATTATATGGAATATGAGCTGATGATCAAGAACTTGTGAGGAACTTGGCATCATTAGCAGCCGCCCCTACATTACCTTCTCCTCTCTTCTCTGTTATGATGCCTTGATGCTCCAAGTTCATGATCAAATGATGATTGACATGTTTCTGATGCCTCTACTACTGCTACTACTCATTTTTTCTGATATATTATTGTTTTATAGGACTACTTTGGTTTATAGACCTTTTTGATTTCTTATACCTTCTCGCGTACCTAAAGCACACTTTCTTGCATCTATTAGAACAAAGCGCGAAATAATGTCGCAGACCCCAGACAGTGCAGCCCGATGCCCCAAGCATGATGAGCAGCCAACCTATGAGGAGCAAGGACTAGAGGACCAGCTTACTCAGGAGAAGTTCAATAACGAGTTAGAAAAGGATCTAGAAGTGATGCTTACTCAGGAGCAGTGTGACGAGGAGGAAGGGGGAGCAGAAGGAATAGCAGGAGAGGCTGCTGAAGGCGAAGAAGAAGAGGATGATGATGATGATGATGACTCAAAAGAGGGATATGTAAATCCCGATGATCCTTTCCCATGTGAAGCTAGAAGGAGGCCAACGGAGAAAGATTTGGACAAGGATTTTGACCCGAACGAGGAGGTAGGGATAAATCCTTAGCTTGTAAATTTTGCTAAAGCTTTGGTTGTGTTACCTCTGCTAACACTTTGATCTGTCGTATATACAGGTCCCTCCTGAAACTCGAAAAAAGACGACATCGACATCCGCGACATCTCGCTGGACAAGACGGAGTAGAGGAAAGGAGAGCAGAGGCAACAGCCATAGAGACGGACATTGAGGCCTCTGCTCCACAACCTCAAGACACAACCATGACTACCAAGCCTAAGAGAAAATGAGGGGATAGAAAAGCAAATCTATATCCATATAAGGCATGCTATGTGATAACGGAGATCGGGCCAGCAGGGGAGATCCTTGAGCCGAAGGAATTAAGAGGACGATTCCATAATGCAATTGGGGCCCTAGTAAGAGATAAATTGAACCTAACAATCCCTAACTAGAAAGAGGTACCAGAGAAGAAAAAGGATGAACTATGGGATAGGCAGCTGAAGCTCAATTTTAGATTTTCGGATGGTAAGCATGAACTGGTAAAAAAATGCTTTCAGGATGATGGGAGAGTCATTCCGACGTTGGAGGTCGGAGCTCAACAAGAAGTATATCCAAAAGGGGTTAACTCCCTTCAACGAGTTCGATAAAATAACTCCTAGTCAATGGGAGGAGCTTGTGGCTCAGAAGACCTCACCGGAGATATTGGAGCTCAGTGCCCATAACACCGAGCTAGCGAAGAGGAACAAACAGCACCATCATCTAGGCCCCGGTGGCTACTATGCCAAGGAAGAGCAGTTTAGGAAGATGGACGAAGAGGCCGCAACTGCTGGGAATATCGATGTGACGAATTTAAAGGTACGCTCAAGGAATTGGATATATGTGAGGAGTATAGAATCATCCGGTGGTAATCTTAAGTTTGATAAGCCGAAGACCCAAGAGGCAGTATCAAGGATACTAAAATATGCTGAAGACAAGGAGAAGGGCTCATTCAATCCTTCTAGGGAGAGGGACGAGCTTAGCCTTGGTTTGGGAAACAAGGAGCACACATGCCGCACCAGGGGGCAAGGGAAAAGGACGACCTGGAAGCAAGGATTCGAAGAGGATAGCCATATGTACAAGAAACATGGCAGAGACTAGGAGACTAATCTTGAGCTCCAAGTGAAGACTCTAGCTACGAAGGCGCTGGAGGAGTAAGGACTATCTACGGAGCCACGGATATTAATGACGCCTCCGGGAGAACTGGCATTAGTTGGTAGCCCTCCGAAAGTTCCTAGCAGCCAAGGTTCCACTGCAGCCACAACCCCCATCGATCGCATATGGGAACCAACTAGTTGCACCTTGGTGTTTCTCAGCGGCCGGCAGAACATTGTGATGGAGGTGGCAACGGGTGTGGCACATCCTCCCGGTGGCTTACACCACAATAATAAGATACCACCAGACTACACTAGAGTTGAGGTGCATACCGTGAAGCCCGAGTTCATGCAGTGGAGGATAGACTACGCAACTTCCGAGGGGCTGGTGTTACTCGGAGATGTTATGGGGCAGTTCATCCTCTGGCACAAAAGGGACATTATATTGACTGCTTCTTCGCCACATCCCCCTCTCCCAAATTTCGAGCAAGTTGTTGAGGTCGGGGAGATATTTTCACTGTCTCGTGACCACCACATTCCTGAGATGCCACATTCTTCCCCGCCTCCTAGCGAGCATGTGCCTGATAAGGCACAACCTTCTCCAGCTCATACTAAGCAAGTGCATGATGAGATGCCACAGTCTTCTCAACAAGCACAGCCGATACATGAACAACGAGTGCCTCCTGAAGAAGGTGATGCACAAGATAAGGACGTGCCTAAATGAGAACTTCGAAAGAAGCATCCAATTACCATAAGACCAATTTATGTTCCGATGAAAGACGTCTCGTCGGTGTCTAAGTGGTATTCTCATGACCAGTTCAAGCCTGAGAACCAAGTTAAAAAAGTTACATCATGGGGTTCTAAGGAGGCCGTCACTAGCAAACTCCACCAAATAGCAAAGTAGTATCCAAATGTTGATGCCATCAAATGGTCAAAGGATTGCCCGAAAACATATGAAAGAGGCAAGCCCTTCCTACCAAACCGGGATATCCAGCGCCTACCACTTAGAATGAGAAGGTTCCATCATTGGTACTTGCGTGTTCTCCCAACGAGCATAGACCTAATACAAGCATGCTTCCCCACCGACACATTTGGAAGCCCAGTCGGGAAAATTGTCTTTGACTTCAATGACATGCATACATGCTTTCACCTCAAAGCAATGGAGATGAATCTAATTCGCACGTGGTGCCTGTAAGTCCTTGTCCTCCCGATATGATATGAATGTAATCTTTGAATTTTGTTGTAACTAACCCACGCCGTGATTTGTAGAATACAAGTGCACATTGTCAAACAAATGCCAAGTGTGAAAGTCGGGTATATAGACCCTCAAGTTATAGCACAAATAAATTTTAATTACCCTAAATAGTGGGAACTGGATGCCAAAGAGCTAGCTGTGGAAAAGACTCTTTAGGAGAAAGAGCACATTCGTACGATGAAACTAAGAGAAGAGTCCCTTAAGGTTGCGGCATACATTGCCCTGACTTTCAAAATTCTCCAACAACACTCTACTATATGGCTACCATACACCTTCGAGTAAGTTCAACTCTATACTTAAAGCTTTGTTCGATATATTTTATTCGATACAAAAGAGCTTATCTAGTTCTATGATTCAATCCATACAGCAACCACTGAATTTGTATTGGTGTCGATGTCGGGAGGAGCATGGCATGGGTCTTTGATTCAATAGATAGGGACCCGGTGACATACAAAGACTTCATATCGGTTCTCAAGATGTATATGTATCGACAATCCTCATTAGCTTATATGTTTGTATACATACTTGTAACGTTCACTTTTGGATACTAATAAGTTGTATTTGCTAAAATAATTCGAACAGAGCATTTAGGTTCTATGTCACTAAACATCACGGAAGGCATAATCCAGCAAGAAAGGAAAAACAAGCTATAAAAACACTATGTGCGTTAAGTGTAACTTACTTCTTCAGTACTCCATTATATGGCTGTCAAAAGCATTATTTAATATTTTCATATGCAAAACACACAGTGCCCCAAGCAGAAGCCTGGGAGTGTACATTGTGGATACTATATATGTTCTATGATGAGTAATATCGGTGCCTACAGGAGACACCCCTTAAGGGTAAGTTTAAACCTCTTCACCCATAGTATAAAAACTTCGTACATGGTATGAAATACTAAACCGAAACTTGTTCTCTTGTAGTGGAAAGAAGAGACAGAAATGAAAAGAGACCCATACAAGGATGACCAACTCTTAGAGCTCGTCGGTGACCTTTGCAACTTCATATTGGACCAGATTGGACACGTCAAAGGCACCTACCATGACCCAGAGTCTGACTTAGGTAGAAATCCTCAGTACCAACACCTTCGTGAGACTGAAAGGCTAGCTCTAGGACGTTGATAACAATGTGTATGGAATTTGACATTAGTTTTACCTTGTGAATTATGTCTATTTAATGATGGATTGTATATATTCTTGTGAATTGGACTTGTAATTGTAGTTTATATAATACTCTTGTACTTGTAGTTTATATAATACTCTTGAGCGAACGTGGTTAAGAACGTTGGTCGCGGGACGTTCGGCGGGATTATCTCGATTTCTCGCTCACGTTGGTCGCGGGGCGTTCGGCAACGCAGAACGCTGGTCGCATGGCATTCGGCGGAACGTTGGTCGCGGGACGTTCGGCAACGCGAACACTGAATGGAATACGCGAAAACAAACAGTGTTTTGGTCGAATTTGAATTGTAAATTTAATTTTTTTTGCGAAAAATATACCGCCCCTATAAATTGATTTGTAGAGGCGGTCTGGGAACCACCCCTATAAATATATAATTTGTAGAGACGATTTGGTAGGGGCGGCTGGCCAAACCGCCTCTATAAATGGTCTTGAGCCATCCCTACAAATGATATCGTAGTAGTGCCAGATTGTTGCATGGGCTGCCCAATTGGTTGTCGGGTCATGACTGGCGGGCTGTTGACCCGTAACAAAATTCGTTTTAATCCTTGTTCCTCATAAAAAAATGTAAACGCATGTTAGAAATGTTCAATAAATTCTCAGAAAAATGTTAGAAATGTAAAGGCAAGTGTGGTGGCAGCAGATCTGGGCAGCGGGGTGCCCCCCCCCTCTCTAGGCCCGGCAGCGGCGACATGCATCGACTGGATATGCTTAGAAGACAAGAACTTGTAAACATCGGCTCAGTTTCATCTGGATTTTTATCGTAACAAACTAGGAAACCATATTTGTAGGTCGATGAAGACTCCGTAGGTAAGCCTATCTGCTAGATTATATAAGGAGTGGTAGGGGAGCCCTAATAGATATCTTGGAAACCAGAAACCATATTTATAGGTCGATGAAGACTCGTAGGTAAGCCTATCTGCTAGATTATATAAGGAGTAGTAGGGGAGTCCTAATAGATATCTCGGAAACCAGTAGTAGAATACTAGAATTCTACGCAAACACCATCAGCGTCCATATAACTTAAGTGCATGGCGTATATATAGAGAAGCATTCTCAACTAGATGTAGGGTACTCTAAACCTGAACTAATATAAATTTGTTTTCTGTGTGCGATCCTTCTAATTCTCTACGCATAAAACGCTGATATACTTGTCAGATAAAAAAAGCTACAACAAGAATTGGTTTTCATAAATGAACAGCGAAAATTAATTTCGAGTCCGTTCACGAGCTACCATGCTCTCCGTCCTAGTTAGAGGCAATTTCTTATGTGAACCGTCTTTGTAAGAAAATGGATCTGTTTGTAAAAAAAATAAGAAAAAAGATCTGTGTAGTAGTGGTGGTGAATAAGCGACCCATAGTTGCGCAATCCGCTAGTGTGAGCATCGTGTTTTTTAGCTGGTGGTGTGGTGAATATACTTGGTAAGCAATTCAGAATGCTTCTAGCTGGACTGTGCGCTCTTGCCAACCTGGTAGACACGTCTGGAGGGTGGTGTACCAAGGGCCAAGATGAACTGCTAACTGGGTAAACAATTTGAAGACCATTAATCAATAATCAATAGTTGAGTCAGTATTACGTACCCAAGTTTGGTGTACAGCCTAGAAAGAAATGGAAACAAAGTAAGAATACATGAACACATTTGAATATACCAACTCCAAGTGATCGAAACCATTTGGTCGAGCGTAGATTTGCTAGCTTTTGCACGAAACACAGAGAATTAAGGCTAGAGCTTTGCATAAAGCAGTCGCTCGAACTCCTCCATTTGTGCAGCCTCCAAGCAAGCGAGAACGCGGATGCCACTATCTAGCGCCGGCCCATGGTTCATGAGGTGCACGTGCCCTCCGCGGAGTGATTCTGCCCGTGACATCCTCCATGGCCTCCCCCACCCGAAATCCGCGTCATACAGCGGCATCCCAAGCCAGCTAACCATCCGGAGCTCCGTCTCCGGCAGGATGCCCCTCTGCAGCCGGTAGTCGATCTCGAACAGCTCGTGGTAGTCGATCGCGGACCGCACCAGCTCGTCATCCACCCGGTTAATGGCGCCCCTGATCCGGCCGGCGACGGACTCCAATGCTTCGGATGCAATCTCCCCCGCCGCACCGGCGGCAAACACGGGGACGAGCGCGTTCCCGAAGTAGCGGCTGGGGAGGGGAGGCCTCATGCTGCGACGGATGTTTGCCGAGAAGGAGACGCGCGCCTCGGCTGCCGGCGGGAGCCGCCGCGCGACACACGTGCACTGCCACACGTGGGCGGTCACTGCACAGAACGTGGTTTCGCTGCCACAGAGGCGCTTGAGGGAGGTGAGCTGGTCCGCGGAGATGACGAAGACCTTGCTTGCAGTAGGTCCCGATGGCTCGGTGAAGCTCATCTTAGGGCAGAACACTGAGAGTGCGTCGGGGTGGACGGAAGGCGGGCACCGTGCACGGAGGAGGGCGCGGTCGTGGCAGGGGAGCTCCACTGCAGCGCCATCGCCGTCCCTGCAGATGGCCGACCATGTTTGGAAGAAGTGACAGGCGCTTGTACCATCCACCGCAACGTGGTGGAGGGCCGTCCCTAGGCAAATCCCTCCGCACTTCAACAAAGTCACCTGGAAGCATCCCATGCGTTCACATGTGTACGAGAATTCAGAAATAAACATGGAAACAAAAATGTCAGAATGTTGCTTTGAATCCTAGTATATCTTTTGTCTATCCTATTGTGATTTGTGAAAGTCTGAAACTAACCTGTACGGCTAATATGATGGACGAAGGTTCACCGCTGGGAACAAACAGCCTTGTGAGCTCTGGAGACGGCTCCATGTCCTTTAAGTCATCCATGGTTAGTTCTGAGCGAGCAACGACGAAGAGCGCACCCTCGTTGTTGCAGTTGATCTCAGGCACCCTTTGGATGCTGAATTTTTTGGCGAAATGCTACTGTAGCATTTTCGTTGTTATTTGGCAAATAGTGTCCAATCATAGTCTAATTAGGCTTAAAAGATTCGTCTCGTGGATTTCTTCTAAATTGTGTAATTAGTTTTATTTTTTATTTATATTTAATGCTTTATGCATACGTCCAAAGATTCGATGTGACGGAGAATCTTAAAAAAATTAGCATTTTGGGAGGGAGCTAAACGGGCCCTCAATCCGGCCATCATTGTCGACGTCGAGGCGGCTGGCAAGGGGGTAGAAGAGCACCAAAGCCTTGACCATGGACTCCTTGAGCCTGCTCGTCACATCAAAAACGTTGCCAGCGGCTGCGGATCCAGTGGAGCGGTAGAAGTATACCGTTGGCGTGTAGCCTCTGTTGGCACGGTCGAGGTCCAGGGAAGAGACCCACAGGCCCTTTCTCGGTATAGCCGCGCCGGGCGTCACAAAGGACGACTCTACCACTTGCACCTCCGAAAGCCATTGATCTTCTTCTTTTTCTTCAACTTCTTTTTCTTCTTCACACAGGAACTATAAGCACAGGCATTAGACACATGCTATATAGAGAGAAATCCCATTCGGCCATTCCCTCATGCACACATTGAATGGCAGCAGGTGGTTGTTGCCTTGTTGGCAGCAGCAGCTTCACTGCTTCAATAATTCGAAGGAAAACAGGGTATACGTACCAGCATATACTTCCTTCGTCTTTAAATGTTCGTGGCCACAATTTATGTATCGATAACTTTGACTCGATTTATAAAAAATACGTGTAATAGTTTTATCTCTAAATAAATTTATTAAAAAATTAAATTCAAATATCTATCAACGATACTAATTATGTATTATAAATATTAATATTTTTTAATATATATTTAGTTAAAATTATTTCTCGAAAAACGAAAACGACAGACGTTAGAGACGGAGGGAGTACTACACAGAGGTCAGAGGACAATTACTACCGGGTCTAAACTCGGCATCACAGCATAAATTAGGTCCTACAGAGGACATTTAATGAGGGTATCTATCACCGTCGTGGATCTGACAGTAGCATACTAGGATGTAGGGGGGTATGTTTGCATCCTAGATACTAAAGTTTAGTTCATATCACAGCAGACATTCGGATATCAATTAAGAGAACTAAATATAGGCTAATTATAAAAACCACATGATGCATCTTTAGTCCATACTAGGATGCAGGATGGGTAATGAAGCATCTTTATTACTGAATTTTAAGAGTACATTAGTAAAAACCACATGATGCAATGTTGTCATTATTACTTGAAGCAATTTCACAAATTGATTACCAAACGCCTGGGTCTGCGACCACGAACACGCCCCATCCCTCGGCTACGCTTTGACTGCACACCAAACGTCTAGGTCTGCGACCCCGAACTCACCCTATAAGGATCCGCGAGCTCCGGCTCGTCCGATCCCTAAAACTAACTAACAAACTGCATCGGCTCGCCCGATCCCACGACGCGCACCGATCCCACGATCCACGACTCCGACTCGCCCGATCCCACGACGCGCACCGACGCCAGACCCCGAGCTCCGTCTCGTCCGATCCCTGAACTAACTGCCTCACCCGGTCCCACGCCGCGCACCGACGCTAAGATCCACGAGCTCTACCTAGCCCGATCCCAAAACAAAAATGCCTCGGCTGCGCAAAGACGCCTTGGTTAAAACGACTCCGTCTCGACTAAAAAACACACACATACGCCCGCTGAAAAAAACCCTAGACGATTCTGCCCGAATCGCCCGAGTGCTCGGGGGCTACACCCGCGGGTACGCTCGCGCGCACCCACCGACAAAACAAAAACCTCCCCTGTGGCAACACGAAAAACCTCCTAGACGATTCTGCCCGAATCGCACGGGGGCTACACCCGTGGGTGTGCTCGCGCGCATCCGCCGTCAAGATAAAAATCCCCCAAGCGATTCTGCCCGAATCGCCCGGGGTCTCGGGGGCTCCTGTCGGGTTCATAAACCCGGGGTCCCTCGCGGGCCGGCTTCCCAATAGAGGCTCAGCCCAGCAGGCAACGTTGCAAACAAAGCGCAACTCATGGGCCGGCCTAAGTACCTAAACGACAGTCCAGAAGGACGATCCAATCACCAACCTGAAGGCCAGGTCGAGGAGGAACAGCGCTCGTTTCTAAAAACTCTGGTCCACCTCTCCGACCGGAGCGCTCGCTTCGGTCTTTAGCCCGCCTCCGGACGGCCTCGCCGACCGGAAGGCTTGGCCAAAGCATTACTTCCGACTCTGACCTGCGTCTCCGACCGGGGATACACCGAACCCCTGCTCACTACTCTTCTCCAGACTGGCGCATTCAGAGCCGACTGGAACTAACCGACCGGGGACGCCCGCTCGGTAAGGATCAGGGAACAGACGGAGAAAGTAAGGCAGGGCGCACAAAGTCAAACCGTAAATGCCGGGGTCCGTACCCTGTGCACCTGCAAAAATAGTACTCTGCGATCTTCCTGGCATGGCAGAGCCCAAGCAGTGCTGTAGACGCCGATATTTTCCCCTATAGTGTTGTGGGCGCCATTAACTCCCATACGGTAAGGCTTCCCCACATGCCTCTGGGGCATCGACAGTGTTGTGGGCGCCAGCATTTATCGTACCGGGTGAACATGGTAAAACCCCTTGCATGCCTCAAGGTATCAACAGTGTAGCAGGCGCCGACGACTGTCATACCCGAAGAAGACAACACAACCTCCCACGTGCATCTGACATCAAACAATATTGTGGGCAACAAGGCTTAGTAGCGAACATACTCATTTCCACTCACTTGTAAGGCCATCCCCTTCATCTATAAAAGGGGATGTGCTCTCTTTCAATAGACAGGTTCATTAGATCGATCAAGTTTACTAGTACACAACCACAGAACCGACAGGTTCGAACCACAAGCACACGCTTGAACACTTAGCTCATAGCGGGGCTCCCGTCACTCTTGGCCCTTCCGACCGGACCCCTTGTAGCCCCCATCTTTCTCCTTCTCGTTTGTAACCTCACTGCAAACTTCGAGCATCTAGGCTCAGGAATAAAGTCACCGACCGACTCAAACTGGACGTAGGGCACGTTGCCTGAACCAGTATAAACCCTGTGTCATTGAGTGCTAGGCCACCTCTGATCACAACATACGGCAAAACTACAAATATTTATTGTTGGTCACTTTCTGCACCGACACTAAGTTTCCACAATTCGAATTTATCAGTGCCAACCGGATTTGTTTCAATGGGTATTTCATTAAATAACTAAGCTACGTGCGTGCAGTAATACATCTCAATCTCATTTCCCTCTTTCCCAAATTAATAATCATATCCATCTCAATCCCAAACTCATTGTCAACGTTTCAAGTTGCCACCGACTAGTAAATTTCTAATATTACGCGTCTGGCTCAGATGGTGTGCTAAGAGGACACGAAGTTTATACTAGTTCGGACAGAATATCCCTACGTCCAGTTTGTTGCTGCTGCTCGTGTTACTAGCACTAAAAGTTCATAGTAGGGGTTACAAACGGTCGAGAGAGGGATGGGTCCCAAGTCTTTGATGAGATGAGCGAACGGGTGCTGAGAGCTCGGTCGCTTCCCGGCTGTGTGCTTGTGTGTTCTGACCGGTTCAGGGTTCGATGGCTTCGGTCTGAATCGATGCGATGTGTTGTGATGCCTCTTATGGGACGCCCTGCCTTTCCTTTTATAGGCCAAGGGAAAGCATGGATTACAGTGGAGGAAAAAGAGGAGAAGGAGAAGGAGAAGAAGTCCTCCAGGATCGCCGGGTCCTTCTTTTCCTTCATAAGGGTCCTGTCGACCCTATAGACGTCAACAGGGACAGCTCGACGTCGCGGCCCTGTCCATCATTGGCGCCATGCGCAACCATCGTCTCCCGGTCGTGGCGCTCCACTCCGTTCTGGCGGACGTCGTGGTGAACTGACGCGCCTGTCAGTGCTCGTACGAGGGTTAGGCAGAATAACAGTGGTTTGCCCGACGCTGTTCCTGATGTGAATCTGCAGGTATGGCCCGTCACGGCCATGGGTTATATCGAGGCGTGCCGGTCACCTCCCTGGTGTCAGAGCTTTGACCCAGGCCCATTCGCTTGGACCTAGAGTGGTTGGCGGCGGTATGGGTCTTCGTCGGGTGAGACAGATCCCCCGGCCTCGGGGTCAGTCGAGGCGGAGTCCCCTCGAGAGGCCAGGCGAGGCAGAGCCCGCCCCTAGAGGTCGGGTGAGACGAAGCCAGTCCTTAGAGGTCAGGCGAGGCGGAGCCCGCCCTCAGAGGTTGAGCGAGGCAGAGCCAACCCTAAGAGGTTGGGCGAGGCGGAGCCCGCGGCCTCGGTGTTGGGCGAGACAAAGCCCACCCTCAGAGGTCGGACGAGTCAGAGCGCAAACCCAAGGGTTGGGCGAGGCGGAGCCAGTCTCTAGAGGTTGGGCGAAGTGGAGCCAGCCCTCAAAGGTTGGGCGAGGCGAAGCGCAAGCTGAAGGGTCGAGCGAGGCGGAGCAAGCCCCTAGAGTCGAGCGAGGCAGTGCCAGCCCTCAGAGGTCGGGCGAGGTGGAGCGCAAACCCAAGGCCAGGCAGGCGGAGCCCCCCCACAGGCCTCGGTGTCGGACGAGGCGGAGCCCGCCCTTAGAGGTCGGGGAGGCAGAGCCCGTGGCCTCGGTGTCGGGCGAGGCGAAGCCCATGGCCTCGGTGTCGTACGAGGCGGAGCCCGCCCCCAGCAGTCAGGCGAGGCGGAGCCTGTGCACCTGGGTGTCGATTGGAGTTGTAGTCGTGCTCTTGACTGCTTGGATGAATCAATATTGATGATTACTAGCTCCTCCTATTTGGGTACCTAGTATTGGTCCCCGATAGTAGCCTCCAAGCCTACAAAAGAAGTAGAATACTCCTTCGGAGGCTTTTCGAACAGGAGGACTCTGAAGGCCT